AAATAAAAAATTTATATCTTTATGTTTGAAGCCTGAAATGTGGCAAAAGGTTGAAAAGTTCAAGGGGGCCGAATACTTTCGCAAGGCACTGTAGATGAGCAACTGAGGAATTTAGATGAGGACAAGAAGCTTCCTGCTGTTAAAGCACAGTTGAAGTTTGGGAGATTTGTGATAGAAATGAAAAATGAAATTAGAGTTTTCAATTTTTCAAAGGACAGGAAAAGGCTTAGTCTAGAACAGCTGATTGCTAACTTAAAAAGTGTTGTCTGCAGGCCAGAGGAAATCCCAGCTACATCTAGAGAAGACAAAGATTATTGTTTGGCACCATCAGAACGTATTGTTGAAGAAAAGGCAGAGTTTTTAATGGAGGCTGTTAAGGCTAGAGATCTAGGTAGAAAAAAGGTTGGTATGGAAAGATTAAGAATTCCTAGGTTAAATAAACCAGAACACTTGTTAGGAAAGAGAGTTAGACATGCTTTTGATGAGAAAGGTAGGAAGGTGTGGTACAAGGGCACATTGCTGAAATGAGACTAGATGGCCAGGAGTATATTTTTAAAATAAAATATGATGGATTTAGAAAAATGTGGTGGTTTGTTTTGTGGAAAGATTATATGGATAGTTATTTAGAATTGCTTCCTGTTAGCGCAGAGGACTTCGTAGGCAAGAAAGTAGAGTACATGTTTGTGAGTAGTGAAGATGGGAGTGAATGTTGGTGGCCAGCTATGTAAATAGAACAGGAGACTTGTTTGTTGTGGATTATGTAGAGGAGGGTGATGATGTGAAGTTAGTGGCATAACTGAGTATCCATTGTTAGATGATTACATGGATAATGAGGTGAGGATTGTTGCTTAGTTTTGGGCTGTTGCTAATGTTAGGCTGTGTGTCAGATGCAGATAATTTTGAGGAAGACGAATAGGAAAACATCTTGTAGTTGATGCTGATGTGCCAGGGAGGGTGTTGAAAAGCTGATCCCTGGAGCCAGCATCTTAAGATACCTGTATTTGTAGATACCTTGGAAGTAAATTAATTTGAAAACATGCAGATTATGGATGCTGATGCGCCAGGGAGGTCAAAAGGCTGATCCCTGGAGACAGCAATATGAAATTAATCCTCTATACATGACTGCTGATGTAACTTCCCTGTGCCTTCTGACAGCTGGTTTCCAGCACTGTATATAGTTACTCATTAGTTATAATTTTTAACATTTACATTGTTATTCATTGTTCATTGCTATTCATTGAATATGTTTGCTGTTCAGTTATAGTTTATATACTTTTAAGATTTATTTTATGATGTAGCTGTGATAATAACTTTTTTCCCATAAGGTCCAAATAAAGTGTATGTCCTCAGCGAAAAACTGATGCCAGCAAAGCAGGTGTGGCTGCACCCTGGCACAACACTGGAGCGCAGTGCCCACCAGCACCTGTACCACCTCCAGGCCCTGGAAGAGGATATATTATTAATCATTAACATAGGGACAAATAACATAGCTCAGGGTGACTCCCCCTATGACATCCTTAGAGCTATGAAAGAACTGATTGTGGCAGTAAGGAGAGCATCTCCTCGTAAGGTTCATTTAGCAATTTGCTCAATTTTGCCACGGCTCTGGGATGACTCATTTACAGCTGGAGCTGTGAAAAAAGCTAACCAGGCTCTTTCAAAGCTCCCTTCTCAGATGGACCATGTGCAGCTCCTCAGGAGCAACAGAGTGCTTCTGAAGAATAAGCAGCCCATTGCTCAGTCCTTTGCTGCTGAAGGGCTTCATCTCAGTGCCGATGGGAAAAGGAGCATTTTTCAGTATATTTTAAATTGTATTACTCATTATTTCAGAACTTTAGTTTGATTTATTTTACTAGTCCCACATTTTATTTCATAATTTACTTTTTTGTTTACTTTCATTTTTTGATATTTTAATTTTGTCAGATTAAATGCACATTTGACCAAAGTCTTGTAAATGCTTACGTTTTAAAAGACATGGGAAAAAGTGCAACAATTTATTCCAACGCAATTTTAATATTGCTATATTTGTCATTCATACCTTATATTATGTATGACAATTGTTATATTTATAATTTATACTAACACTGTTTTGTACAGATGAAACTTTTCCAAAATGTATAAATCATTAAAGATTATTAAAAACATATTATTTTCCACGTGTAATATAATTAGGAAGTACAATAAGATGTTGTTTTAACGGTTATAAAATGATCTGTCTAATTTGTTGGAAAAGCTGTTTGTTTAATGATAAGTAAAGGACTTAGAAGTAAAAAGAGATGCTTCATATTGCTAGATTAAAGTTAAAAACTAAGTTATAAATGCAGACGCGATTGGTTCCATAAGCGCCCCAGGCAGCAGAACGTTTGTTCTGTACTGCTGAACTCCGCGTCTCCTCTCTTTCTCGGTGCCGCCCCCTCTCTGATGGAGCACAGTGGGAGGTACGTTATTTTCAGAGCCTCTGGTTGGGAAAAAAAGACCTGCTGATCAGTTTCACACAACAGGAAGAGAAAAGAATGGGATTTTTTCTTTTCAAAATGTGTGTTGTTTTTATTAAATTCGTGTATTTTAAACGTTTAATTAAGAAGTAAAAACCTTACAGCGTACACAAAGATTCTGAGCTAATCACGAGGAAGAAAAATCACCCATTTTTCACGCATAAAAACTGGTTTTTAACTCTCGAAACCTGTTTTTATAGGTTTTAAAGTCGTGCAATTTCTAAGTTAAGCAGGAACACATCATTATATCTCATTTTTTATTTCTTTTTAATTTTTTTTAAAAATCATTTGCCCAGCCTACTGTTACTATAACTGATACCAGAAGTTTTAGAAGTGTAAGTAAATACATTTGGCTATATTTACATAATGCAATTATATTTCTTGTCTCACATCTACCTTTGTTAGGAATTTACTTTTTTAAAGTTATTTGTGATTCAAGAAATAAGAACACAACTGCTTAGAGTGGAGTAATTTAGTCAGTAAAGGTAAGCCATTGTCCTACTGTATTTCAGCAGCAAGAATGGAAAGAGTTCCCAGAAATGTATCCCTGGGGTATCTTACCTGTAACTGTAGGTTGTCTTCTTGTGATCCAGAGCCAAAATGCCTGTACCAAACGATTCCCTCATTGATGTCCTGTTGGGTGAAAGAAGTGGTTGTAGTGGCTACTCTTCCATCAGGCAAATGCTGCCACCCATCAGCAGGACCATCTGCTGGCATGGGTACAAGCAAGACCACTTCTCCTAAAACAAAGCGAAATAAGAACATTGGACACAGATGGCAAGTTATTTAATTAATTATATTAACACTTTGGTACACTGAGATATTCTTAGATTACATGATAGCAAACAAACAGTATGTTAATATCAGTGAACTGAAAACAATCTCTGACACACAAGAAACTGATTAAATCAATTATTGTGTTTAATTGTTTCAAATGGAATATATTTATTCAGTTACATTATTTCATATATGGGCACGAAATGCTACATAAGGATTTATACATATAGAATTTATTTGCTGCCCACCTTGTGTAAAGACACTGTTTGCCATGTACAGATGCAGCCATTTAAAAAATGCATGAAAACTCATTGCTGCTGTAAGTGGGCTGTGCCTAACAACAGTGTGATTTGGCTTGTTGAATCATACTGTTTAAAGATGATCAATAGGTGGCACATGATAGCTTTATTTAATCTATTGTACCACTTATTTAAATCTAGTTAATATGTAATCATGTAACCAAAAGGGGCTATGAAAAAAATGTATTTGAACACTATTAATGATATTAATTTATTAATATAAATATATTTAAATAGTTGGTAGCAGAAGCTGAAAATAAAAAAATAAGGTATATAACTATTCCATCTTATGCATAAAAGTTCTGTATTAAATTCTTTAACTTCAATTGTTGTGGTCATTTTGGGAAAGATTTGATGCACTTGTTTTAACAATGTTTTCTATGAGCACATGCTCATAAACAATATATACTTTAAGGAATATATACATACTGTATCAGTATCAGTAATATCAAAATATTTTTTATTTATGTGTTGTTTTAGTGTGTTTCCCAGTAATTTATTGCAAGTTCTCATTCAATGTTTTTTATTCCAACTGTTTCATTACAAAATGAATTAGACTTTGGGCACTTTAGGTTTCAGTTCCTCTGCATGCAAATTCAACATCTGTAAGTTGAATTGTTTTTTATACATGTTTATATATTATATGTAATACTTATTTGCAGTGTAATAGAAAAGTAAATGCTTGTAGCTTTTAATTTAGCTTGTTCAAGCAGTGTGATGCATTTGTTCAGCATATCTGTGTGAAACTAAATCAAAACTTCTGATTTTCTGAAAAAAATATCCTTATTTTTTATGATTAAAATCTAAATCTATATTTCTTTTCTGTAGCTGCCCTTTATTCTTTTCTATTAACAGTTAACACTGAATAGTTAATTACCCCTACAATTCAGCCAATTAGCCATTACAATAACTGATGTTTGTATCAATTCATACGATACAGGCCCCTAATGACATTTTGAGCGGGGGACAATTTATATGTTTTATGTCTATACTGGTTTCCTTCTATCATCTAGATTGTGTAATTAGCATTAAGAAAAAAATAATTAAATTTTAAAGCACCTGTAAACCTGAAAAACACAACAAGATTACAATAAACTTATTACAGATGCAGCCATTCAAAACAAGCAGGGTACGCTGCGGTAAAACGCTGTGGGCATGTCGCATCATAATGCATCAGGCTGTAAACTCAAAGTATTACCGTGGTCCACTTTCTTTGTAACCATCTTTGTAAACTAAAAGACTTTTGTTTTTTCATTGACAAAAAGTAACACCACGATACACCACCATAACTATATTAATTTAGGAACATAAACATATTATGTAAACTTTATATGGCTGGTGTGTAATTTTTCTTTAAACTACCAATACCAGCCATATACAGCTTACATAATATGTTTATTTTCCTAAATTAATATCGTTTATGATCATCAGATGCGTTATGCTCCTTTTTTTTCATGCTCAGCTACTAAAATTTCCCTTTAGTTGTAAAATTCCACATAAATATTTAATACTAAGCGGATTAAAACATGCACAGTAAAGAGATTAAATGATTAGATCTTTTCACTCACGGCCAATTAGTGAAAACGAGTGCCCCTGTTGGTCAATTTGGCCAGCCAATCACGTACCACGGTACAACGCAGTGGCTTGTGGGTAGTTCCATGTGGTATGGGTTTGTACCGTGCATTTTGAATGGCTGCATCTGTATATATATCCGGCTAACAGCAATTTAAGAGTGTCACGTTTGCTATATGAAGGTTCATCGATTTTACTGTTACTTTTATTAACTAATTTAATACAGAAATTGTTGATATAGTATACATTTTATTTATTGTATTTCATAATTAGAGAAATAGTCTTTATTAACTCCTAAGGAGAAATTTTGATAAAAGTATAATGTGCCTACTGATTGGGAATTAAACTCAATAGATTCTACTGCTAAACCATTGTGTTACTCTGCTTGAACAAGCTACATTAAAATAACACAAGTGTTTCATTTCCCATTACACTGCAAAGAAGTGTTATATATAACTGATGTTATAACTGAATGCAGAAGAATTGAAATGAAACTGGACACAAAGTACATTCAAAGAGTTTAGAAATAAAACAAATCACTAATCACTAAAAAACATCATACTATAAATCAGAAAAAGTCTGGCATAAAAATTGTGACATTATTGTGGCAAAACTGTAGTTTCCTTAGAGAAAAAAATTCTTTATATAGCACGGATTTCTATCAGCTCCAATGCAGTATGTGACCGTAACTCATTCTCTGAAAGATATTCAAGTCACTGTTATCCTAATTTTCTATGTGCTGATTTGCTATTCATTATTTATAATTTTAAATTATCTATGTATAATTCATTTAAAAAAATCAAAATCTAAAATAAAAGTATCTGTTTTGTTATTACTATACTCAATTACTAATAATTCTATTTGTAATTAAAATATGAAACATTCTGTTACTATACAGTATGAGTAGAGCAGGAAAGCACTAATCAGTTAATAAACATTCAATTTTAATTATTAAAATAATATTTATGTGATAGATACATGCAGCTAGATTCACTCTGCCACCTGGCAGTTTTGCAGAGTAGTTAAGTCCTGATCCACACGTTGCTTTTCATTATTCAGCGGCACTTGTTGTGATGTGCCGTATGACACCTCGCATATTTTAAATAGGTGCATCTGTACTTTGTAATGTCAATATCTTGAGTATAGAAAGACACTTTCTTTCATGTATGTTATTCTTCAAAAAATGTTATGCATTATTTGACATTGAAAAATTGCATGATATCTGAATAGAAAAAAAATATCTGGGCAATATTTCAATTTAATAATACAGCAAACCTCCGAAATTAAATTAGTTAAATGACAGAAAATTACAAAAAAGTTACTTATATATAAAACAGTTACTTCAACATAGACAAAAGACATGAGGTACCATATCTGAGGTTTTCTTTTGAGGGTAGAATTGTGTAGTGAACCTCAGAGTCACTCAAATCGTGGTATTTTGCTTTCAGATATTTGCTGGTTATTTGGAACATTCTGCCTTCATGAACCCAAGCAGTAGGAATGGAGAGCATGTGAGGAGATTTTCCCTTTTAGAGCAAATACATACACAAAAAAATAACATTACAAATTACATTATGCAATTATTTTAAAGGGATAAAACATTGCAAAATACTACATTATTCACTTTTTAAAAGAAAAGTGTTTCATCTACAATTAAAAAACCTAAATAGAACATACCATATTGTGGAAAACTCAAGAGATTCTAAGAAAAAAAAGACATTTCAGTAACCTATCAGTATGTTTTTGGTATCCGGAGGAAACCCATGTGAACATGGAGAGTACATACAAAATCTATTAATCAAAGCTAAAGGTCAGGTTTTTTTTACAATGGCAGTAAAAATGCAAAATTAAACTAGTTATCTTCATATATTAAAGTCAGGACATTCAAAAGCCATGGAATATATGAAACGTTATAGGACATATAAGATTGAGGATATAAAAAATAGTGAGAAGAATTGTCTAAAAAAAGTAGAAACAGTAACAAAACGTTAGTCATACCTTTTGAGCAACCATGATGTGGAAAAAAATATTCTGGAAATTGTGGCCATCATTCATCTGCAGGATGACAGTATCCTGCTGTCCATCTGAGCCATCATGAGCATACTTCAGCTGCTTTTGCTCAAGTTCCTCTGGTTTGAACTGCTGCACTGGCATATCACCATGGGCATGAACAAGATGACCATGTTGTGGAGGCTCAAGTACCATGACCAAAACATCCTGAAGATTGTCCTCATCTTGAATGTTCAGAACTGATTTTGTGATGGTAACAGTTTCCCCTCTATTGACCAACAAAACTTCATTTGTCAAAACAAATGGGACCTGAATGAGAATAACAGGACTGCATCAATCACATACTGTATTTACAAAGAAAATCTAATCTATTAAACAGTACTTTTTTAAAATATTAGGGCTGATGTTTAATTTTGAGGATCCTCTCAAATTTGTATGCAGGAAAACCTGACCAATAGTTAATTGTTAAAAAGGTCTTCCAGTGTAAAATTAGAAGTGAAATACTGGCAAAAGCAGTAGGTTCCAAAGAGATTTGCTGTTAGTGAAGAATGTCTTCTCTGTTTTCTGTTTTGAAAGTTATTACTAGTATACAGTATATCAGGTGGGTATCTGGGTCAGCATGCGTAGTCTGCGTAGTGTTCACACCCGAAGAAGGCTTCACAGCCGAAACGTGTTTCCTCTCTTCTCTTTTCAGCATGGAATAAACCTATTACTTGTTCCTTTACGGTATATATCAACTTGTCATACAAAACTATTTAGCCTGAGATAAAATTGGTTATCCTACCCTTGTCTTAGAAACTGTTTAGAAAAGCAAAAGAGATACGCAAGGCTATAGGGGCTAGAACTGATCACCATTTTTTGTAAACTTGAACATAAAGTACAGATCTCAAAGACAGTGTGACAATACAAAAAACTTAATTTAATCAGACAGACAACTCATAAAGATCTTATTAAAATTTTATTTTGCATAGTTATGTGAAAGAAAAGTGCAAATGTGCGAACTATAAATGATAGTGTACAAAGTTTTCTGTTTATTTGGTTTGAACAAGGTGTATAAACTGAATGTGTCTAAACTAAAATCATTTGAATTAATGATTTCCAGAAAATGAGAATGCTGAAACAAAAAAACTCTATCAGGCAAATAGATCACTTATTTTTCTCCAAAATGTTCATAAAACGGATGTATAGTAATTTACCCAAAATTATAGTACAGTGCTAGCATAGCTTTTATCTGACTTGTGTCTCCTGCTCTACAATTAATATACAATTTCATATACTCTACACTGGATAATTATTTGTTGCATTGGTTATTTTGCCAGAGAACATAAATAAGTTCAGGGTCTTATAATGCACCTTAACAGAACAAACCACATTCCAGTGCCAGACTGCAATGGTATTTATCTATAGCATACAACTGTCTTGTTATGACTGAATATACTTTGATGGCACTATTATGAAAACAGTGGCATGCATTCTACATGCTGCTACATGAAAACTATCTTCTGGTTCTAAAACAAAAACTGTGTAGTGTTTAAAGACTACTTTGCATCACTGTTATTAACTTTAACATACTTTGATGCATAAGTACACTAAAGTTCAGAACAACTGAGAAATTAATATTGTTTTTACTATTAATATTGATGAGATACTGCAAGGTTTAAGTGTCTTAAATTGCACCAAACAGCATTTCAATTTATGCAATCATACTATTACATAAAATAAAAAAAACTGGAAAATAAATGGAAGACGGTGTGAACTTTTCAATATCTCTTAATACCTTTCTGAACACATTTATGACATCAGACATGCCACCAGTGGGATCAATGAATTTAATTCTTATTGTTTTCCCTGTGAATAAAGAATGTATTGTGGTAAACAACCTAGTGAAGCCATTTCTGAAACCCAAAGGAAAGTTCTCACAAGTAGGCTTATGAGGAGCCGATCTGCCTCTCTCGTACAGACTGAGTAGATAGATGCCTTTCACATTACCTGCAGGGAAATTGCTTGGATGTTAATTGTCTCAGTCTGAGAGAACAGCTGTTGATCCCCAGCTCTCAGGAAAAGCTGACCATTCCTATAACAATTCAAGACAAGAAGTTATTTCCCTTCCTGTTGGATACACATTAATAATTATTTTAAACACAAATTTAGAGGTACTATTGTTTGGGTTAGCTCTGTTAAGACATAGCACGCTTCAGTGCCAGACATACACACATTTTACAAGTAAACATCCTCAGTTTACAGAGGTTAGGTTAATTTTCAAGAATATCTAAAAAATGAAAGACTCACCAAATTCAAGGAACTCACTCCAATAGATTAAAACAAACATTTTAACATTAAAGGCCTGTTACTTATCAGGTGTGGTGAAGCATTTGACATATATTATATGTTCAAGCCTAAACAAATTGCATAAAAATTGTGGGTTCTGACTGTCAAAGAAACTCTTTTTGGAAATTGTTGGTACAGTAAGATCTATGCATTTATGCCTACAATTAAAAAAAGTTATTTTTCTAGACACATTATAATGCTTTATGGTTTAACTCTTTAAATGACTCATTGGTGAACTTACTGGATGCATATTTCTTTAGTAACTTCTTAGAAGCCTTTAATTAAAATAGCTAAAAACATTTCTTATATACAGTATATTTATTGCTTTGTAATAAAATGCTAAAAATAAGTCCTACCTATAACCTGTGAGAACATAACTCCAAGCAAAAATAAAATTAGGATAGTGAGATGCAAATCAAATAAATACTGTAAAACAATGTAACAATGCTTCTGATAGTCTCCGTATTTCAGATGAAACATGTCTAATTATATTACACAGACATACAATTGTTTTTTGTCATTCACATGACTTTGGGCTTCTTTAAAGAACTGTAGTCACATTAATGCTCACACAGAAATGCAAGTTGATATATATATTTTTTACATTTCATAGTAGTTACGAAGTCTTACCCTCTCCTACCCCCTCTACAACAAAAACATTTCAAAAAGGAAACAGACAGAGGCAACACACCACATACTCACTTTGATTTGTCTTTGGCATGGATAAACCTTACAGTGTTTTCTATCAGGTCAGTAAATGTAAATGTATCTTCCCTGTTTAATTTAAATTCCTTTCCATTAATTTTCTTTATCAACCTGCCATTGTTGGGAGGTTGAACAAGCTGGAAAATAAGATTCTCGATGGAGGTGTCTGGGTCACGAACACTCATGAATGAAAAATCCAGTTGCTTAGTTCCACCAATCTTCACTATCAGAGAACCATTCACATACAATACTGGAGCGTGTTTGTTTTCTGCAGAGAGACAATATCATGTTTAACCAAGCACAGAATATTCTAGAATCATGTCTACATTTTTCCAATAGAAGCATGACGTTGCCGTGGAACTGGAGGACACAAATGCACAGTTACATAATGTATGTTAAAAGTTAAAAATACTAATTTCGTGAATATATAAATGAAAAACATTAGTGGTACCTTTACATGTTCTGTTTTTTCTGTTGATGTTAAACCCGTATCCACAGTCCGGTGTACAAACACCATCTTTTAAGTAGGTGTTTTTGTTGCACACTCTGCACTGGTGAGCACTATCACATTCAAGGCAATCAGTAGAACAGGCTGAAAAGTAAAAAATGTCAAAGGTGACATCACATGTGTTAGTATTTTTTCATTTTTATTCAGTTCCATACAAGCCTTTTTGTGAAGTGACCAGGGTATTGTTCACTCAAAGACATTTTCTTCTGTCTGACATACATAATTAATTTACCCTACTACACCCTAATAAAATTACTTTTTCAGAAGTATGACATTATCAATAAGATCCAGAAAAAATCATTTTTTATTTTAAACATCAATTGTGCATCAGTGTGCTCAAATGGAACACAGATGCAGCCGCTCAGAACATGCGTCATTTGTTGGTAACACAGTTACCTTTAAAGCAGAATGGTATTACTGGCCAAAGACAATCAATAGGTGGCACTTGTGGTGCGCTAGATGTTAGTGAAATGATTACTTCATTTAATCTGTTTCCCTATTGTTTATCATCTTTAAATCCATTTAATATGGAATATTAATATAGAATAGTGTAACTAAGGGAAAATGTGGTAGCTGACAATAAAAATATCAAACATAACATCCCTGAATGTCATAAACTATATTAATGTAGAAAATATAACAAATATATTATACATACTATATATAGCTGGTAGTGGTAGCTAAAGACAAAAAGTACACAACAATATTCCAAGTTTTTCATAAACATTTTCTGCATCAAAGTCTTAGACTCGTCATTTGCTGTGGTTATTTTGGAAAAGTTTTGACATGCTAACTATACACTCATAAGAACATTCAGTATGTGAATTTTCGCTAATCCAAACATGAAGAATTTGTACCTTGTAATTCGTTATAAGAACAAAATTTCGCTAATCCGAACTTTGAAGTTTGAAAATGACCAATATTGACCGAGAACCAAGGCATTGTGGTTAAGGACGCAATGAGGCAGCAGTCCTTCATTTACGATCACTGCGAAAGCTTGTGCTCTCATTTTAAAAGTGTTTTTTTGTGTTTGTTTTGTAGTTGTTGTTCATTATGGGCCCTAAGAAAGAGTTTTCTTGTTTGTTTCCATGTTTTATGTATTTTATTTAATTCTTACTAGCTTTCTTATTTTTCTAGTCAATTTCTTTAGAGTAATAGTCGACACCAGTACGGGCATTGTTCTAGCCATTCGTTTGGATAGAGATCTATTACAAAGAATGAAAAATGTAAGTATTATATCATATTATTTTACAGCTATAGTTGGCTTATTTGAGTAGAACTGTGTTGTTTACTAAGCTTGCTATAATGGTCTGTATGGTATCATATGTTTAGGGTGGTTTTGGAGTGAACAGGGTGGAATTTTCCACATAAGAAATAATGGAATTTTTATTTTCGATTTACAATCTCCCGCCTTCCGAACAGATTTTCAGGAACGAGTTCAGTTTGGATAATGGAGTATGAGTGTATTGAATTTATATACTCTAGAAAAATCGATTTAAAAAAATAACTGTACTATTATTATATACTGGGATTGAACCCGTTCCGTCAGCGTCAGGGAACCAGCTGGCTGGGCTAAAGGAAACCTCAGTCCAGGTGCCTGATTTGCTCTGGGAGGTTGTGTCTGGCAAAATTGGATCTGGCGTGTGTATTGCCAGTAATTGGAGAACATCAATACGATGGGCAAATGACTTTTTCTTTTTAAACTAAACAAAAATAAGACACAATGACATGTCCTTGCCAAATATTGCATGACTTTAAAAGCTGTAAAAAACTGGTTTAGATAGTTAAAAACCATTTTTTAAGCATGAAAAGCGAATTATTTTTCTTCCTCGTGATCAGCTTAGTTTGCATACGTTGTAAGATTTTAACTTTTTCTTAAATGTTTAAAATACTTGAATTTCATAAATGTAACACACATTTAATACAGAAAAAAATCACATTATCTTCTCTTCCAGTTATGTAGGACAGATCAGCTGGTCTTTTTTTCCCCAATCAGAGGCTGTGAAAATACTGCGCTCCAACAGAGGCGGGGGAAGGGGGGGGGGCAGCGCAGCCCGAGCTTTCCTGTGCGAATGGCACCAATCGTCTCTGCATTTATCACTTAGTTTTTAAAATTAAACAATGTAAATCATTATCTTTGTCTTCTACATCCCTTAATTAACTTTAAGGATATCACCATTTAGATTTATTTTTCATACAAAGCAGGCATGGCATATTTAATAAAAGCAAAATTGCTCAGTTGGACAAAAGTACATAACCTTCCACCTTCATCATAAATACTTTAATTATGCATAAATATTTAATGCATCAAAGTCTTTAACTTGGTAACTTACATGGGTTCGGGTTTGTAACGTGCTTGTTCTAACATTGTTAGTTATTATTAGTTGTAGTGATTTTACATCACTTGATAGTAATATGAATATGGAATCGTGTAACTAAGCAGCTAAAGTATCACAAGTGGGTGTTTTGGAAACATTTTGACATTCATTTTTTTTTAACTTCTATTGTCCTTGTAGTGGAAATGAGCACTGTAATGTAGCAAACTGCACCCAGGCGGTTCAATGCGCAATCAGAGCATTACTTTCGGTCTGTTTCTGATTAAACCAAATGCATAAAAGAGTCCACTATCATAGCTTATTGTGAACATGATGTGTCTCTTTCAGGTTTCCACCTGAATTAAGAAAATCTATATTTTCTTTTAATCCAAATGTCAGCAGCTAGTAATCAGCCTACAATTTAACTTGAAATTAAAAAAAAAAGTTTAAACTGTTCTATATAGTACACCACCTGGAACTGAACCTGGTTCGTCAGCATCATTCAACAGGGAAACAACTGGATGAATTATTGTAATGAATAAGGACGACATTACAGGTTGTGCAAGCTGTTTGGCAGCGTGGTAACATCACCACCCTTCCATGTGAACAGCAGGGATCTCAGCGCCTGGGAACTTTAGCTTTAGCTCAGCTGGCTGGTTCCCTGTTCAGTAACACCAGAGACCCAGTTTCAAGCCCCAGCGGTGGAGGACTGACCTGAGTTGGGAGCGGTGAGGGCACAAACCCACGAGCACCCGAAAACATTACATTATTGTACGTGATGGTTTTATGTTTAAGGATTTCTTCACGGAAATCTTTCAATTAAACGAGGGAGGGGGGATTATTTTTTACAATTGCCAGTAATCAGTTAACAGCTTATCAACACGATGGGCAAACGTTTTTTTTATTTTTTTTAATTAAATAAAAAATAAGATTCAATGATGTGTTCCTGCCTAACTCAAATATTGTTTGACTTTAAAAGCTGTAAAATATGTTTTAGATAGTTAAAAACCACTTTTAACTTAAAAGTTAAAAGTACTGATTTAATACCTCTTGTTAGTAATATTAATATGGAGTCGTGTAACTAAGCAGCTACAAATATCACAAGGGGACATTTTGGAAACATCTGACGTTTGTTTTTTAAGAATTATATATTATTGTCCTTATAGTGGTAATAGGTAATGGACTGTCATGTAATGCGCTGCACGCAGCCGGTTCAAAGCCAGATCAGAGAATTACTTTGTTAATTGACTACTATTTTATACATAACTCAATATATAAAAATAGTCCATTATTATAGCTTGTTTGCTGGCATTATTATTGTTGTATCTGGATAAATTAAGTGATGGTATTGTGATTAAGGATTTCTTCATGAAATTCTTTAAGTTAAACAGAGGAAATAAGGTTTTTTTTACAACTGGCACTCCTGACTGATTTAATTCCCTTCATTTAGCTGAAATGGATAAAGAAATCATTCAATAGTTATATGTATTGGAAGGCTCTGTTTTAACAGACAGTCCAACTGAAACCTGTGTTGTACAGTAATATAGACGTGGGTAATGTCATCCTCATTAAACAATGTGCTTACCGCACAAAACCTGCTAAACTAGAAATTAGACACAAGAAGTGTATTATTGGACAATGCTGTGTGGCTCTGGTGAAATTTCTCTGTAAAGTTATAGAGGAGACACATTGTGTATCGCCTCTTTTACACTTGTAAGATCATTGCAATGTTAATGTGACACAGAAGATATTAAAGTTTACAAAGAAAGTGGATTACAGTAATACTACCAGCTATATAAATACATATATTTAGATCCTTAAATTAATATCGTTATTAATTTCTTTAGATAAAAGATTCCATATTATATTCCCTATTTAGCAGATTCTAAAAAGTACAACGTTTTTTACTGCGATAACGAGTGCAAGTATTCATAGAAAAAGGTTAATAATTTAACTCACTTAACTTTGAACATGTTGTGATATTTAGAAATACCAACAAATAAAATATAGTGTTGATAATATTTATTATTTTAGTTTTTCAAAGAAATGTTTATTTGTTTTAAAAAACTGTGCAGAGGAATTACAACAGCATTGTGTCCTATCTTTCAGAAGTCAGTTGACTTACACTCTGTTCCAGCGTGATCAATCAATAATCGTGCCAATACCCAAAAAGTCCTGTCCCTCAGATAACAATGACTATAGGCCGGTAGTGTCACGATTGTAGTCCCTCCTCCTTAAGGGCGCTCCGGATATTTTCACTTTGGACCTAATTTTGTGCACCTGCCCTTTGTTCTAGCCTCCTTCCCGTCCCCCTTAAAAGCCAGACCCTCAGTCAGTTCTGGGCTTTGCATCTGATTCCCATATCATGCGAGCCCGGGTCCTGATGCATCTGGCTCCATCATGTTTTTAAGTCTCTGTTCTTGTTCCTGTTCCCCTTGCCAGTTCCGACCTGGTTCCTGGTTTTAACCCGTCTGTTCCTGATGGACCGCCTGGCTTTGGACTTTGCCCATTTTTTGGATTCCCCGTCTGGATTACCTTTGGATTGTTTGCCTCGGCCACACCTCCCCCGTGCACCAGTGCACCATGGACACGCCCCCCTGTCCTCATTCCCGTCTCCTGCATGACTTTTCTCCCCAGTGTTTTCTCACTTTTGCCCGGATTGTGTCATCCGCATAGGGTCTGGAAAGAACTGTCCCGTTACAGGTAGTCTGTTGTGATGAAATGCTTTGAGAGGATGGTATCCATGCTGTGCTCAGAAGTGAACACTGTACTGGATCCATATCAGATTTCATATAAACACCGGCGATGATGCAATCAACAGCATCATCGCCGATGATGCAATCAACAGAATTATGCATCTTCTTCTAAAATACCTAGAGAACCCCAATACCTATGCTCGGATGCCGTTAGTGGACTTCAGCTCTGCATTTAATACGCTGCAGCCCCATCTATTGGTAAGTAAGTTGAAGGAAATGTTCGTTAACCATAACATTATAAGATGGTACCATTCATTTTTAACAAATCGCACACAGTGTCACAGACCGTAACCTGTGCTGGTCTACTTATGTTGAAAGTGTTCGCTCCAAAGTTCAGCAGCGCTTATATTTCCTGCGAAGACTAAGGGTGTTTGGGGTTAGACAGGAAGTAATGCTACTCTTTTACCATGCTGTAATCAAGAGAATTATCAGATATGGTATTTCAGTGTGGTTTGGTAATCTATCAGTTCATTTTAAATTGCAAATTACCCGCCTCATCCAGACAGCTTTGAAGATCATCGGAGTGAAACAGCACCCCTCCCTGCAGACAATCTTTGAAAAATCCATAATCAAAGAGGCAGGAAAAATTATATCAGATCCTTCCCACATCCTCAACTCTGAATATCAACTTCTTCCTTCCGGCAAACGTTTTAGGGTTCCCAAATGTAAGTCAAGCAGATACAAACATTCCTTTGTTCCACTATCCATTAAAGCTGTCAATGCAAATGTCAAGGATAAACACAATTTTGACTCTTACAACCCACTTGAGTGCAATATGTTTTGTGATGTGTTATAAATGTTACATGTTGTTATGTGTTATACTGTACATGTGCGATAGAATGATGTGCAATGTTTTTCTTATTTTATGTAATAGTAAAATGTGCAATGTTTTTCTTCTCTTTTTTTGCATTCTATTTAAATGTACAGGAGTGCTTGGTGTCCATAAAAAAATTCCCTCAGGGGACAATAAAATCTTATCTTAAAGAAACCCCCAACCTCTAGCATGCAAGTCAGATGCCTAAGCCATTACACCAACGCACCAATTGACAACGTAAGCTATAACTGAACAGAGCAGGCAAAAAGTTTCCAAGTCGCTGGTGAATGAGTCAAATTGCTACAGATGTTTACAAAGTGTAATATTGTAATAATTTGAGCTATATAAAAAATAATTATATCATTATTATTTATTTAGATACTCGATTGCATGTTATATTCCCTATTAATCAAATTCTAAAAAGTATGCGTTTTTTATTGCGATAACGAGCGCAAATTTTAATAGAAAAGGTTCAAACATTATAACTTTTTATGAAGTATATAAACTTAATATAGTTAGAAGGAGCACGTACAAAAATTCCAAAAAAACTACAGTATGTAACCGAATTAAAGACTTTGATGCTTAAAACGTTTATGAAGAAAGTGGAATACTGGTGTGTATTTTTATTTAAACTACCAATAACAGCCATATACAGTTTAGATAATATGTTTATGTTCCTAAATTAATACGGTTTATGACCTTCAGACGCATTAGGCTCCTCTTCTTTTTATGCTCAGCTACTAACATTTCCCTTTAGTTGTAAAATTCCATATTAATATTCAATATTAAGTGGATTTAAACATGCACAATAAAGAGATTAAATGATTGCAATCGTTTCACTAACAACCAATGAACCATAAGTGCCACCTGTCGGTCATTTTGGCCAGCCAATCACATACTGCGGTATAACGCACTGAACTGAATATAATTTTGCGCGGTATGGGGTTGTACCTTGCATTTTGAATGGCTGCATCTGTATATATCACAACATGTTAAATATTAAAATAATATTCATTAATTAAAAACATGAATGAGTTAGGAAACATGAATACTGTTAATGGCTGGAGTAAAAACCAGTTCTGCCAGTTTACAAAAAAGTGGAGAAGGAATGAGTGGTAGCTAAAAATTAATTTATGAATAATAAATATTATTTCAAACTGCTTGTATTTTGTTGAGGGTTATTTGTCATTGATTAAACTTTTACTTTTAGATTAAAACTGAGAGACTAAAGAAACCTGTTATCTATAAAATATCTGCCTTGTGACATTTCTCATACCGCTCCAAAGCTGTGTTCAGAGTAAAATCCTCTAACCTGAATGCCATGACGGACACACCAACAATTACCCCTACACATTACCCATACACAAAAGACCACTAAAAACTAAAACAATCCTAAGCGCACACATGCACCAAGGAAAAAAATGGCTCCTCAAAACAGATCAAAGATCAAGGACCAGCCCCCAAATATGTTAAATTCCCACTACAGCATTACAGCAAGATGAAAGTGGGGAACAACAGAAAAGACGGATATAACAAACATGCAGACACAAACTGAATAACAATGCAAAGTGTATTTCCAAGAATAGCAATTAATAATGTATAACAAGACCGTCAAAGAAGCAGACCTTAAGTTTAGAATATCACAGTAGGAGACAGAACTGTTGAGTTTTTATTATTTTATAAAATAATATGAGTTTATTAATATAACTGTTTATAGTTTTAAGTTTTTATTGAGTTTTCAGAAGGCTCAAACAGAAGTAGTAAACACTTCTGCTAACACGGCAGCTTGTAATATATATGCAATATATATGATATATTTATAAGATATATGATATATATACTGTATATAATAATCAACTAATTACTAAATATCCAATTTAGTAATTTTGTTTTGTAAAATAGCCCTACGCTGTTTTTAAAATTAATTTTATTAACAAAATTAATTAAAACATTAATAAAAAATTAATAAAATCTAAACAGTATACAACTATAATAACTAGAAAAAGATTGTCCCAAGGGGCTCAGCATTGACCGGGATTCTGGCAACAGCCCAAGTGCTTCTACGTGCCACATCAAGCATTCACAGCGCCACAAAATCTTACAGTCCCACAACAGAATATTTTTTTAAAAGTGTGATGCAGTGTAGTAGGGTGTGTACACCGCAATCTGCTGCATTATTCGCTGTGCATTCTGAATGGCTGGATCTGTATATCATTATCATCATGAAACAAAAGGTGAATCTTACCAATACATTTGTGCAGAAATCTGTCCAAGAAATACTTCTTGCCACATTCATGAACACACTGTCCTTGCAGCACAACATAAGGATTTTTACATTTCTCACATTGATATAACTCTTCACATTCCTCGCAATGTACTTCACACCCTGGTAGAAAGAAAAACAACCAGCAAAATCATACTCAATCTGTATGAATGCCCTGTCACCATCCTATTCTAGCTTTAAAAATATAACAATAAATTACTCAGAGTAAATTAAATTTAGCTAGGCAAAATGGTTTTTAAAAAGCAGCCAAAATCTGACTTTCAATAATGCCATTTTGACGATCAATAACGATCAGCAGGTGTCTTTCAGTCTCAATTTTAAGTTTTAATCTCACAATTATGTTTTTTTTAGAACTCCCTTCATGTATTCATGTCTACTTGTAGGTTTTATGGGATTTATGTACATGGTTATGTGTGGTTAATATTAACTTAATTGATGAGTAGAAGAACACAAGAATAAGATTAAAAGACTACTTGCAATGTCTATCTCAACATCCAAATATATTGTGAGGAAATTTGACCTCTTGTAGCATGTGATCTAACTCTGCATTCTACCAGGCATTGTGTCGACATGCTGAACTGCCACCTTAACGAAAACAGAAACAAAAATATATTCAGAAAAAGAAACACTACCTAAAGAAGCAGATTCTCATTAATATACAAATGTTATAGGTGGCTGTCTGGAGTGAAATAGATCAGCAAAATGGAGAAAGAGAAGCCAAAAAAAGAATGACACTATGGAATGATGCCTTAAAAAGCATAACTGTAATAAAATTCAACAACAGTACGAACTCTGGCATTTCTCTCCATCACGGTAAAAGCCTGTTGAGCATTGCTGAATGCAGGATCCATCCTGAAGGACATAGCCATCCATGCACTGAAGGCAGTCTGTAGAAAGTGGACCTCTGCAGGCATTGCAGCTCCAGTCACACTCTGAAAAGGTCAGAAATGTTAATTACAAACTAATATATAAGACATAGTTAGGTCACTTGTAAAACTTTCAATTCACAAAACCTTTCAGTTTACTTAGAGCAACATAGTGGATAATAATTGATTTTGTTTTACATCTGAAGCTGTAAATAAGTGTTCCTAGAAATCTGATATTTGTTTACCATTCTTAATCATAAAATCATTTTAATTTCTACTAACAAGTGTCTAAGTATGTGTCTTTTTGTTCCAAAGATTACCTGTTCAAGTCTGTGCTATATCATTAACCTCCTGTGACACTGATTCCCCCTGCAGTGCAGACAATGTACTGCTGGGACTTAAATGGTTTGAGTTAGCATGAGGTAACTTTAAGTGGCTGCAATTTTGGAAAAATGATAAGTCTCCTGTAATAGTGTGTCAGAGGGTTGTGTGCACAGTCCTTGTTCCCTGAAATAGAAAAGGGGTTGGAGCCATAAAACATGATGTTAAAATTTGGCATTTCCAAACACTAAGGGTGCAAAAGGAATTGTTGGTTTCAAAAATAATAAAAACACAGTAAAACATATGCATTAATTAATGATAACCTGCTAATATAGTAGACTTTTTTGTTCATGTGAAATGCGAAGATCACACACTATTAAAACAATATAATTTCACACTGTAATATAACTGAGCAAGGTAACAACAAATCAAAAATTTGTTTCTGTAATGTTGCATTTGATATAACAGTTTAAAAAACAGTTTTTATTTTCATGGAGTGTACTTCAATGAAATTACTATGTAAGGAAAAAGAGCCCTTATTTTATTACATTTTGATAAACTGCTCAGGAAAGTTAAACTCCTAAAAACTCTTATTTAAGCACCAAAATTCACCACTGCCAATGTGCATTTAGGTTTAATTTAATCTTGCAGGCTATGATCGGTGACTATGGAAGCATCTCTAAGAAACCAGATAGGTAGCACCTAGCTAGTGTCAATATTTCCACTTCCTAGAGCTTCAAATCAAAGGACTTGGTTGTGCTAGGTATATTTTACTTAAGTATTTCTAAAATATTTTGTGTGCTTGGACCAAACAGTCTGTTGCCTGTCAGGTATGTGGCTGTTTCATCCCAGTGTGTGGTCCGTGCATGTTTTGTTGCTGTGTTCCACACTTCCTGACCTTGATTGTTCTCCCTCCCCCATTACAATCATTACATCATTGTTTCTGTGCGATGTCATCATCAATCAGCTTCTCGGCCAATCAGAGTGCAGCTTATTTAGTATATTAGTTGGAGGTTTTCTGAATGAAGGGGCCTTTTGTTTGACTTCGGTCTCGCTTGGCTTTGGTTTCATTTAGCTTTTGGTTTTTGCTTCGGCTTTGCTTCATTCATGTGTGTTTTCTTATAGCTTCGGCTTTGTACACAAGTACCAGTAAATCCACAAACCCCCTGCACTGGTCAAAAGGGTCTTCTCCTTTAAGTCAGTAAATTAGGTTCTGGGTAAATGATTTACAATGCCAAAAGTACAGGATAAAATACAGAGAGACACAGTGGAACAGATGAGAACAGAACAAAAGAGAGGAGACAGGAGGACATGGAACTTGTGAGCCGGGTGAGAGGTCCTTGTCCAGACATCCATAAAATATTTGAATATCAATAAGAGAGACTGCTATTCTGTGTTTTTTAGGCAGCTCTCATTTCCTGTGTTAAATAAACACTGGATAAAAAACAGCCAGATTAATGGGTGCACTTTTAGAATAGGGAGATAGGTTCTCTGTCATTTGGTGGCATTATGAATTTGAATATTTGGTAGCAGTTTTTTAATGAATATTTGTTTAGCCCCCCCCCCCCATGTCTGAATGATTACTCTTTTAACCAAATCTGTACCAGAGAACAAAGACCCCATGTGCTTCTAATCATACCAAACCCTCGGGTATATTCTTTGCAAAATTCTTACAAGTTGCGGGTCATGAATATGTTACTTATTGACTGATTTGTTCTGTTATTTCCCATTTTCAACTTTTTCAAAACCTTTCACTTGGAACATTATTGTAGACTAAACTAGACAGATGTTTATAATTTTTTATCTCTGAAAGGAAGCATCAAAAGCATAAGAATATTTTTCTGCACTTAGGTTTTTAAAACAGTTTGAAGTAATAAAACCTCAGGTATAATGCAGGTGGCAAGCTATTTCTTAGACGCACTCACATGCATTCTCTTAGTTAACTCTCTTCAAATTCATCACTTGGGTAATGGTGCTTTAGGCATTAAACCTACATGCACATTTCTAAGACAATGTGAACTATTGATGTCAAATAAAACACAATGTGGCTTCTATGGATTACATAAAAAACACAATGAAGGCTGAAGAAGGCTCCACAGCCGAAACGTTGTGTTTCTTTTCTTCTTTATAAACCTTTACCTGTTCCTTTGCAAACCAAGCTAAGGTCTTCGTATTCTTGAAATGTCATTCTTACCTCTGCATGTCCTTGTGGTAAAGTCGAGGTAGTATTGCTGGGCACAGCTCTCATGACACTCTCCAAATAGCAGGACTTTAGCATGGTCTCTACAGGAGGTGCAGGATCCTGGCACATCACATGTCAAACACTGGCCGTCACATGCTACAAACGACAGGTTTAGAATACCTTCTGAAACTTTATCTATTCAATAAAGGTAAAACAATGCCTTGGGAAACGATGCATGACCAATATATTTTTTATCATATTTAACTAGGACTACCAACTGCCAGAACAAACCACACAGAAAAAGAGTAATTAGTAGAAGAAGGGAAGAAACAAAAGCCTCAGTAAAAGCAATTACTGTAGACAGATAAACTGGGACTACAGCAAAACATTCAGGGAATTTTAACATGAAAGAAACTAACACTAATCCTTAAGTATGTGATTATTGTTTTATGTTTAATAAAATAATTTCCTCTTTGTGGTATCCACAAATTTTTCCTATTATGAATAGGAGGAATTCCCATGAATTCCATTCATTTAGCAAATGTTTCCAAGATACATTTAATCATGGCTAGGATCTTTTATTTAATTAGATACAGGTTCTAACTTTTTTTCTTATACAGTATTTATACCTCAGCTGCAGGGTACAATTCTGTGAGGTAAAACCTCAGTATTTGTGTGGGATAGGTGCTTTTAAGTCTAATAGTGAATTTTCAAATGCGGGAGTTAATACCTAATGGGAAAACAGGGTATGGTTCCACAGCTCCTCAAACAACCAGTTCCGTAGTAATATTTTTGTTATAACTGTTAACTATTTCAGAAACAGTGTTAATAATTATAGGTAGTATTTTCAATCAAAATGAATACTGGAAACTTAAAAAGCACTGTTTTCCCCACATAAGTCAGGTTACTGCATTGCAAACAAACCCTGTATTATTGTTATGTTACATATTCTCTACTTGTACAGCTTACATAATAATACGTTTGTGCAAATAGGCATAATCATGAATATAAAACTTCTGAATATTGAGGTTTTACCATATCCCTATGCATGTAGATGGCTGGACTCTGAAACTTAAAAGATATTCGTAAATAATTGTGCTAGTAAACATAGTGTGCTATGTACAGATATACAGATGCAGCCATTCAAAATGCACAGTACAAACCCGCGGTACGGGAAACTACCCACAAGCCACCACAGGGCACCGCGGTAAGTGATTGGCTGGCCAAAATGACCAACAGGGGCCCTCTTGGTGCATTGGTCGGTAGTGAAAAGATTTAATCATTTAATCTCTTTACTGTGCACATTTTAATCCGCTTAGTATTGAAAATGTATTTGAAATTTTACCACTAAAGGGAAATTTTAGTTGCTGAGCATAAAAAGAAGAGGAGCATAATGCATCTGAAGGTCATAAATGATATTAATTTAGGAACATAAACATTACTGTATGTAAACTGTACTGTTAGGGCTGGTCTTGGTAGTTTAAAGAAAAAATACACACCAGTCTTCCATTTCTCCCTAAAGATTTTAAGCATGAAAGTTTTATGAAACGGTACCCAAATATGCAATTGCTGTATAGAATGAATTTTAATTAAAAAAAAATATTTAACAAGAAAATTAAGCTGTTTACATCTTCCGCCTGAGAACATAGTCACACATTCCTACCCAACGCAGAAACACAGCCACTAACTAGAAAAGAGAGGACATTAGCTAGCCAATATGAAAAAGAAATAAATGATTATTTTATTTATTTCTTTTGCACATTTATTTGAACATTTCCATCAATTGTACAAGCACTTGGAAACTATCCAATCCCTAGTTCATCAGGCATTTTCTTTTACGCTGCGGGCATTCTCCCTGACTGTGTCTTCTAGGATATAATGCCAGCGATTTATTGTTAAATTTGGGTTTCCAATAATGCCGCAGCAAACTCTTTTATGTCCACTATAACGGACAATCTCCTTTGCTTTTAACCGAGCGTTTAATAATTTCCTAAAATAAAAATGATTTACTTTATTTCCCTCACGGGATCAATAAAAGTATCTATCATCTATCTAAACTATGGGACAGAATTCTGGGGTCTCCCTATACCAGAGATTATGGTAGGGCTTCAGAATGGTGATTGGCTGACACCATCTGAAACCCCCCTGATTGGGGAAAAAAGATGTGCTGATCAGGAAGAGGATTTCTTTCTATTCGAAACGTGTATTTTAAAAGTTTAATTAAGAAGTAAAAACCTTACAGCGTACACAGATTTCTAAACTGACCAGGAGGAAGAAAAATCACCCATGTTTTGTGCATAAAAAGTGGTTATTAACTATCGAAACCTGTTTTATTTATTTTATTTTTATTTAGATTAAGAGTTCCCGTCACCCCCATTCCCATTTAAATCACAAACCCGTGTTTAATTAAATGTCTTTTAACATAAATCGTTATCTTTGTCTTCTGCATAATAATGTTCACCACTCTGTCCAGCAAATTAATAATAAACTTTATTTTATATAGCGTTTTAAACAAATAACGAATTAGATTGCTCATAAACCTAATCACTTATTCCACATAAACACAGTGTAATTGCTCTCTGAAAATGCTTTTTCTTTTTATTTAGGCTCAGATTTCAACTATAGATCGTACACTAATTACTAACAGTAAATACTGATGTTTTGCTCCCTCTTACCACAAAAATATTAAAAATAATGTATTGTAGCTGGGATTAACTTTTTTTCGAACGTGTCTCTACCTGCTGCGACTCGGACACGGAATGGTTAAAGATGGCGACAACTCAGGACCCCAGAGATGGGGGGGCGTCTTTCCACCTCCATAACTAAAATGCCAAATAGGAGTACTTTTTAATTCAGTTTGAATTATAACTGTACGTACTGTCTTCGTCTTTGGCCAGGGCTTTAAAGAGAGGGCGTGCCAACATTTTTTAGTGCCGTCGTCTGCGTTTAAAGGTACCACTGTCGCGGAACAATTCGACCTTGGAACGTTCACCCAGCGTAATTATTGTTTCATTGCACTTTGACAGATTGTCTTTAAATCAATTATTGTCAGAATATCCCCACCTCCAAACAAGAACAAAATTGCAACGATTTTATTAACTGGCTGTTTCAGTAACCTAAAGTATATATCTAAAGTAATAATTTAACAATATATGTAAATGTTTTAAGATATGTTTATGTTGTGAATGTCTGTAGATTGTATCTTATTTTTAGTTTTATTTTGTTTCATGTTAATTTTATAAGAGAATCTTGACTAAAATACTTTTATTTTTTTACAATCTGATAATGCCAGACAGAATTCACATTCGCTGCAGCCAAATGGCCTTGCAGATCAGATACTGTATCAAGGAACAAAACAATTATCTAAAAAGCCACCTTTAAAGGCGCTATATAAAATAAAGTTAATTATTATTATTAATATTGATGAGAATCTTCCTCCCAGGACTTGTAAAATTGTTGTTGTTATTGCTGTTATCCTGTAAAGTGCTTTGAGAAGCATACTGTCCAGCATATTGTATTTCATTGCACTTTGACAGATCGTCTTAAAATCACTTGTTGTTAGAATATCCCCCAAGAGGATATTCCCCACAAGAGGATATAGAGGATATCCCTCAAGAGGTATCCAGGTAACAGTGAAATGGGCGTACA